TTTGTTTTATTTAAATTTATTGCCCTCTTGGTTCCTCAAAAAAGAAATCAAAAAAGAACTGCCTTCTTATTTCAAGTATTTCTCAGTAGTACATAATACTGCTTTTAAAAAGGAGAAGGGATTCGTTTCTTCTGTTCTCTTCATATTTTGAAAAGTTCAGTCAAATTCCTTTTATTAAATTCTTCTCAAAGTAATCTTTTTATTTGTAGTTCATATCTGTGACTAGTTTAGAAGTGACTTCTTTCTGTTTCTGCTCACTGTAGGTTGACAACTGCTCTAAAATAGTCACATCTCTGCAGCTTTCCTTTATACTGGGAAGACTTATTTGTAGAACCTGGTAATGATACACTGCACACTTAGCAAATAGCAGTCAAACCCAAAATGAAATTTTTACAGCTGTTCTGTGTGGTTTTATTTTGTTTAGGTGGTCCCCCTCACCCCCACCAGTTCACCTGCCATTATTTCATATCAATTCAACGTCTTTTTGTGTAATAAGAGACAACATTAAACATTCCCTTCATTAATTCCTAACACCCATTTACAAGTTGAGCCCATACATTTTATCAAATGTCGTTTCTCTTTTTCTAGATTTAGTGGCTGTTTTGTGTCCGAAAGGTCCACTTCGTATGCTGGTTGAAACAGCTCAGGAGAGAAATGAAACGCTTTTTCCAGCTCTTATTTACTCCTGTAAGTATTTGAGAATGATGTTGAATTAGTAATCAGTGTAGAATTTATAGGAACTGAAGCACATGTAACTGTGGTCATTTTCATGGTACTTATTCTCATCATAAGTACTCAGCATTCATGGAACTCCTACAGATCTGTTTCCTTGCAAACGATTGTCTTCTACCTGATGTTGATTCAAGAGAGTTTTCAATATGAATAGAAAGAAAAGAAATATTTAGATATTGGGGAACCAGCATTCCCATTTAAAAACTTGTTATTCAGGTGCTATCAATTAGTGCAAGCTCAAGGATACCTTCAAGTGACTTGTTTAGATGTCTGCTATTCAGAGATCCCTGAGGAACTGAGATTGTTGAGCAGAGATGTAATGTGAGCAGAGCTGTGCCTTTGTAAGCTGAATTGGTGGGGTGGACTCTGAGATCATGAGAGGCATACTAAGCATAACTAAGATGATACTGCCATGATCTAGGTGGAAAGTAATGAGGGTTTGAATTACAGTTGTGGCAGTAGCAATCAAGGGAAAGAGTTAATGAGGTTTCAGAGGTCGAATCAATAGTTCTAGCAACGGAGGAGAGAAGTTTTAAGCTTGAAGGAAAGGGGAGAAGAAAAAATGTTTTCCTGTGTTTTCTTATTGTTGTTTTTGAGACAGCATCTCACCTCCCGCCCAGGCTGGAGTGCAGTGGTGTGATCACGGCTCACTGCAGCCTCAACCTCCCAGGCTCAGCTGATCCACTCACCTCAGCCTCCCAAGTAGCTGTGACTACAGGCATGTGCCACCATGCCTGGCTGATTTTTTTGTATTTTATGTAGAGTTAGGGTTTTGCCATGTTGCCCAGGCCAGTCTTGAACTCCTGGGCTTAAGCAGTCTTCTCACCTTGACTTCCCAAAGTGCTGGGGTTACAGGTATGAGCCACTGCACCTGACCACATTTTCTTGTATGAGGGATCTGATTAGTTTTATATCTTTTTGTGGTTCATATCTAATTTAGTTGACAATATGTGTGGGTCACTGAGGTAGACACTTCTAGGAGAAATGTATTTGTAGTAGAGACGGAGTTTCACCATGTTGGTCAGGCTGGTCTTGAACTCCTGACCTCAAATGATCTGACTGCCTCAGCCTACCAACTTGCTGGGGTTATAGGCATGAGCCACTGCACACAGACTTTGTTTTGTTTTTTGAACAGAATGTAAGAAAACAGCAATACCAGTCAGTACTTTTTCCCTGAAGTGGATATAAACATGAATGTAAAAACTTTTAAATCAGTCATCCTGGCTGTTTGTTTTCTAAAAATCAATAAATATAGTTCTTTTATGGCTTTTAATACTGTTTCCCAGTTAAGGGTATTCGGTTTGCAAAATACTCAACAGGAAATGTATGAGCATTTTTGGTTTTTTACTTCTGTTCATTTGACAGAAAAAATATATACCTACTCTTTGAACTAACTCATTCTTCCCTTGTAGTCATTAGTAAAGGTGGTTCACTCTGGGAGCTTAACTAGAAGGGAAAATAACAATTCTTTGAGATCATTTTTTTTTTTGAGATGGAGTTTCACTCTTGTTACGCAGGCAGGAGTGCAATGGCGCAATCTTGGCTCACCGCAACCTCCACCTCCTGGGTTCAAGCAATTCTCCTGCCTCAGCCTCCTGAGTAGCTGGGATTACAGGCGCATGCCACCATGCCCAGCTAATTTTTGTATTTTTAGTAGAGACGGGGTTTCACCTTGTTGACCAGGATGGTCTCGATCTCTTAACCTCGTAATCCACCTGCCTCGGCCTCCCAAAGTGCTGGGATTATAGGCATGAGCCACTGTGCCTGGCCAAGATAGATTATTTTACCTAAAGCTATTTCTTTGATTTTGTCTCAATTAAAGGTTGTATTAATTTTTAAATCTGCAATATTTTCCAGACAGGTATGCCTGTAATCCCAGGACTTTGGGAGGTAGAGGCAGTAGGATTGCTTGAGCCCAGCAGTTCAAGATCAGCCTAGGCTACATTAAAAGCAAAAAAAAAAACTTATTTTTTTGAGACAGAGTTTTGCTTATTGCCCAGGCTGGAGGGCAATGGCACAATCTTGGCTCACTGCAACCTCTGCCTCCCAGGTTTAAGCTATTCTCCTGCCTCAGCCTCTTGAGTAGCTGGGATTACAGGCACCTGCCACCACACCCAGCTAATTTTTGTATTTTTGGTGGAGAGGGGTTTTGCCATGTTGGTCAGGCTGGTCTTGAACTCCCAACCTCAGGTGATCCACCTGCCTTGGCCTCCCAAAGTGCTAGGATTATAGGCGTGAGCCACCGTGCCCAGCCTCTTGTTTTTTTACTTAAAAAAAAAAAAAAACAAAAAAAAAAACTGCTTACTTTTCTACTGATAAAAGGTGTTTGGTGTTAAAGTGAAAGAAAAGTGATTTTTAAAAATATTATATTAGGGGCTGGGCACCGAGGCTGATGCCTGTATTCCCAGCACTTTAGGAGGCTCAGGTGGGTGGATCACAAGGTCAGGAGATCGTGACAATCCTGGCTAACACAGTGAAACCCTGTGTCTACTAAAAATATAAAAAATTAACTGGGTGTGGTGGTATGCACCTGTAGTCTCAGCTACTTGGGAGGCTGAGGCAGGAGAATTGCTCGAATCCAGGAGGCAGAGGTTGCAGTGAGCCACCATTGTACTCCAGCCTGGGTGACAGAGCGACACTTGATCTCAAAAAAAAAAAAAGATTATTTTAGTACTATTTATTAAAAAAATATACTATTTATGATAATTACCATGGGGTCAGCAAACTACTGCTTGAAGCCAAATGTGGCCCATGGCCTGCTTTGGTACAGCTTATAAGCTAAGAATTGTTTTTACATTTTTAAATGGTACAGCTTATAAGCTAAGAATTCTTTTTACATTTTTAAAAGGTTGTTCTTAAAAAAAAAAGAACATGTGACACACAAAACCTGAATTGTTTACTGCTTGGCCATTTACAGAAAATGTTGATTTTCATGATACTATTAAATGCTAAAACAAAAGGGCTTACAGCTATATTTTTTTCATACTTGCATAAAGAAAGAAAAACAAATAAATAGCTGCTGCCTTCATTTCCAAAAGGCTATAGAAATTCATAAACACGCTGGGTGCAGTGGCTCATGCCTGTAATCCCAGCACTTTGGGAGGCCGAGATGGGAGGATTGCTTGAGCCCAGGAGTTTGAGTCCAGCTTGGGCAACATAGTGAGACCCTGTTTTTACAAAAAATAAAAATACAAATCCATAAATCTCATACATGGTGGTTGCCCTTCAGTTTTTCTTCTTTAGATCTGGATTTAGTTAAACAGTGTTTTCCCTGTCTTGCTTCTATTAACTTTTGATTATTTGGTTGGGTTATTCTATAATGAAACTTGGTTGACCTCAGAAATAACAAGGCGGAGTTCAGCTTCTTTGCTTGTGTATTTCTTTCATAAGTTCTTCAAGAAGCCTGAGTATTAGAAACATGGATAAAATTATAGTGATATAATTTTATATCAGTATAATTTATGTCAGAGGGACATAAATGCCAAGTATCTTGTTTAAAATTACTATAACCAGATTTGACTCAGATTGCTGCTGGCATTTGGTTCCCACTATAGTCCCATGTGATATGTGTTTGCTTATATGTACTTTATTATGGTGTTATTGTTGATACATCTTCAGGATAAGTTCCAAAATGTATTATCGCCACATTAAAGGGTTATTGCACATGTAATTTTATTAGATGTTACCAAGTTTCCCTCCAATGGGGATTATACCATTTTTCAGTTCTGCCTGAAAAATGTAAGAGAGAAGGACCATTTTAAAGTTTTCACATGGTCTCTGAGCTAAAATGTGGTAGAGATGCACATGTGTGTATCTAGATCTAGACTGATAAATATTGATACACATGGATCTTTGTAGAAGAGACACAGAGGAGGCCACTTGACTATCCCTATTATGTTTACCTTTTTTCTTACTCCATGTTTAAAACACGGCTTAGCATTATTGAACATTCTAAGAGTGAGACATAATATGGAGGAAATTTATTCCATGTGCATCTTTTGAATTATAATTTTCATCTCAGGTTTTTGTGAGCTCCAGTTTGTCCTCGAGTTTAGAACATTCAACTAGTCCTGCTGTTGTTTCAGTGGTATCTTGCTGGCCTGAGCAGTTTTCCTTCTGGTTACTTTTTAGGGACTAAAAATGATGATGAACAGTTTTGTGATAGCAAATGCAGTTTGAGCACTACAGTAAACATTCAGTTTCAGAACTTTTTCTTTTATCTGCTAAAACCAAAGAGAACCTTTATTATTTTTACTTTTTTGGGGGGAGGGGGATATCTGTATTTATTTGAGGCACTGAAGCAGTAGGACTCCAATGTGAGGGTGGGCTGGGGCAGGGCTGGCTGGATTTGGGGCAGGAGCCTAGACCTGGAAGCAGTGGAAACCCCACCCCCAAAAGGCTGCCCTTGAAGGGCATGAGACTATGCCAGGGCAGGGGGTTATAGGGGACTGGGGCTCTGCAGGCTGCTGGCACCCCTCACTCCCCAAACACAGGCCCCAGAAACTGCCACGTGCTCACACCTGCACAGCACACCCACGTACCTCCACGGGCACACATCCCTACTGGCACAGCCTCCCTGGGGGCCCTCTCAGTGTGTCCACAGGACTTGTTTCCTGACGCTGGACCTTAAGACTCCAGGGGACCCTCATCCCTTCCACAGTCCCCCAAGGAAGGTCACATCATCAACCCCAGAAGTGAGGGCAGGTGGCCCCACCTGGGGCAGAGGCAGGGCTGGGGCAGGTGGAGGTGCAGGGGGTGGGCCTGACCTGGGACCAAGGGTACAAATCAGGCACATGAGGAATCAGGGGCTCTCATACCCTTGTGGGATCCAGAAAGGGCTGGGCTTTGCTTCCTGAGCTAGGGGGCTGGGGACAGGGTCTGGGCTGTCAGGGACCGAAACGCAGCAGGGCAGGCAACAGGCTCAGCAGCAGTCTGGCACCCAGTAGGGTGGCGCTGGCCTGCAGCCTGCCGTCGGCCGAGCTGAAATTGCACAGGAAACCCTGGCAGCAGCAGATGCCCATGGAAGCTATACCTGGGGGGAACAGGCCGGGGAACAGGACTTTCTCAGGGTGTGGCCAAATGTGACAATCTTTCTGATGCCGGCAGACGCAGTCACCGACAGGCAGTAGTTGTCCTGATCGGAGCAGATGGTGGGCTTCAGGCAATACAGATTGCTCTTCTGGTTTAGGCAGGAGAAGCACATCAGCGAGCTGGCTCACTTAACACCCAGAAGGGCAGCCAGCAGCACCAGCAAGGTCTTTTTTCTGGAGAGGACGGCGGTTGTGCCTAGAGATCCCAAGCCAGAGCAGCCCGTCCTGCTCACTGGTGGATGCAGGCTCCTGCAGCCTCACACACTCTGAACACGGCTAGACCCGCGACTCCCTATTATTTTTACTTCTGATTGTTAAACAGTCTTAAGGCAGCATTAGGAAGATTGGTGATTTGTGTGGAGAAATGATGGCCTGCTGCTGTCGCTGCTGTCTGTGCATACATTTTCCTTTGTGTGTCCAGTGCTTACCTGGAATTTTGTCTTTCTCAACAGCAACAATGGTGTGGTTGGTGAATATGGCCGAAGGAGACCCTGAAGCTCAAAGGAGGGTATCCAAAAACTCCAAGTATAATGCAGAAAGTAGGTAATTTTTATTTGATAATATCTTGTTTTTTCATGGTCACTGTCACCTTATAAGCTAACAGTGTAGCAATGATTTTATCATGTCTCTTTGGTCATAGACTCCCTTAAGAATCTCTTGAAAACTATGGTAATGCCCAGGAAATACACAGATAAATATTTAAGTTCAGATACTTGAAACCCAACAATACAGTCAAGGCACCTTAGGTTAAGACATCTCCCATTAAATACAGAATACCAGTATTGAAGGTTCAGATTGAGGTTATGATTTTGTTTTTGTTTGTTTATTTTTCAAAGGTCCTAATTTTAAAAAGAAAAAGTAAACACTCTCCAAACATGTAAAAGTAAGAACCTGCTAAAAGAAACAAAAAAGAAACAGACAATAAAGGAAAAATAAGTTAACAAAGCAAAATATAAACAACATTAAAATGAGAACTTCTTGTCTTACATGGCCAGAGTAACTGAAGTATAATTTGAGATGTACTGATGTTTGTACTGAGAAGGTCAAATATTCTAGGTGGATATGACTTTCTAGAAGAGGATAAGAATGACTTAGGATGAGCTGGGTGCAGTGGTGTGTGCCTATAGTCCCAGCTATGTGGGCGGCCAAGGAGTTCCAGGTTAGCCTGGGCAACTTAGTGAGACCTTGTCTCAAAAATAATAATAATAAAGAATAATAATAATGACATAGAATGAGAGACTGAAAGGCCCTCTATGCATACTACAGAACATATTACAGAGAACACAAGTTAAAAGTTGTTATTAGATGACATTGAGGGGGAGCTTTCATTTAGTTTTCTGGAATAGAAGTTACCCTCCCACACACACTAAAGGAGTTGAGGAATAATAGCACCCTATAAATATTAAAAGATAAATAAAATGAAGCTTATTATTTTGAAAGAAAACCAAAAAAGGGCTAACTCTATGAGGAATCTGAAAAACAGGCACAGTAAATACTGGTGAGGAAAAAAGGCCTTAATTGAGTTACTGTTTTTTCAGGAAAGGGAGTTTATGTTCTCTAAAGCCAGGAAAACTATAGAATTAGCATTTGGGCAAGTGCAGGGAAGATACTTTCAACCAAGAATTCCTATTTGGAACTCAAAGATACCAGTCTTTATTCCATAGTAAGCAAGGCAGCAGAACAAGGTGATGTTATATTGTCACGGGATTTTTACTGTGTCACTTTGCTAGCCAGAAACCTCTGTGGCTAATGGCACCTTTGCGTGAGATTTTCTCGGGCCCACTGGGCTCATTCTACCTACCATCTTGGCTGGCTATGCTTGGCTTTCACTACTAGCTGGACCCCACACCTGCCAAAGGCAAGCCAGGTGTGGAACAGTAAGGAGTGTGTGAGTGAGTGCAGGGTCTGGCCACTGGGCACAGCCAGGCATGCTGGCTGTGGCAAGGTGGGCAGCTCCAGGTATCAGCTCCCTGTTGCATCTAGACCAGGCATTCCCTAAGTGGCTCTCACTGCAGGCACTAGGGAATGCAGTGGCACTCAGAAGCTGGAGATGCCAGGAACTGCAGAACCCCAAAGAGGGTGTCACAGCCCTAGCTTAGGGAACTCCTGAGTCTGGGCTCCCCTAAGGGCCACAGTTCTTTACTCCTTCTCTCTTCTCTCCTCATCACCTGCAATATGGCAAGTGAGGGGCAAGTTTCAGCCCTGTTTGTGTCACTGCCCTTTCAGTCCTTCTATTTAGCGGGTCCCAAGTTTTTGTCCCATGTCCAGGAAGAAAAAAGTACATGGACAGCTGGAGGGAGAGCAAGATGAAGAGATGGTTTATTGAGCAGCAGTACAACTCAGGAGATATAAAGTGGGTAATGATATCTGCATGCAGGTTGTCCCATTGTCTCTGCAGCCCTCCGTGGAGAGGAAACCTGGAGTGGGTAGCTTCTGTCTGTGGGCAGGTTGTTCCATCGTCTACCTGAGTTTGACTGAGTCTGGGGTTTTTATGAGCTTCTGAGGAGAGGAAGTATGTGCTGATTGGTCCATGGGTGGCCACGAGCAGGCCCAGAAAAAGTACCATAAGTTCTCGCTCTGGTCTGTGGAACTGGCTGCTTGGCCCCCAGGCTTCAGGCTGTCCCTGCCTTGAAGGTGGGGCTTCACTGGGGACCTTCCCCTTTCCACCTAGGAGCCTGTCTGCCTTCTGCTGCCATCAGCCTGCTCCCTCCATGGCTCCCATGGCACACAGGACGTTCATGCAGAAGGGTGCCTGCTGGCCTGCGGCAAGCTGCCTTCAGCCCCTCTGCAGCCACTCTCCCATGCTTGTTAACACCCAAAGTCCAGAGGGGGCTGAGGTGGCCAGGGTCTGGCATGTCAGTGCCACCCCAAGCACGTGCACACCCAGCCAGGTCACGACAGCACCCAGGCTTGGCCACAACTTTGCTCTGAAATCTGAGCAGACACAGGGAGTGGGGAGAGGCCAGACAGTGAGAGAAGGCACATTCAAGCCTGCAGGGTAAAGGGGTTTTCTGGACCCCTGAGAACACAGGAATTCCCAGATCTACAGCCACAACTGGGAAGCTGCAGCTGTGGGAGTGCGGGGCTTCTGTCCCACCAACTCGGAAGGGGGCAGGGCTCCTGCCTGTTCCTGGCTCCCACCAGCTCGCAGAGCATGCAGCCCTAGCTGCGCCTCCCCTGCTGCAGCTGGCATCTTTGCAGCAGCCACTCCAGATGGGCCGCTGCTGCCATCAAGACCACTAGTAAACCTGATAGAAAAGTAAGAAATATACTGGAAAGAATTGCCATAGCCTGGTTCCTGTGTTAACCTGGGTTAAGCTAAAGAAAATCAAAACGGTTGTCTGTGAGCATGAAGGGCTGTGTGTGTGTGTGTGTGTGTGTGTATGAGTGATATATCAAGATTTCATTCTTTTGACAGATGTTGGTGGAGCACTTGAATCTGTGCTAGGCCCTGAGGATATAGCACTGAACAAGATTCCCCTTCCCTTGTGGAGCTTATATATAGTCTATTTGGGGAGCTAGAAGGTCAAGAAATTATTACATAAATAATTCATACAGTTGTGATAGGTATTACGAAGAAGACATGTAAGTTGCTATGAAAGTTTGTAATAGGGGAATCTTAGGTATCCTGGAAAGTAAAGGGGTGCTTCCCTGAAGAAGTGATAATAGGTGATGGCCAGCTGAAGGGTGGAGAAAGAGCTTTCCAGGAGAGGGGCAACATGAGCGAGGGCTTTGAAATGAGAAGGCTGGATGAACTGCAGGCTTCCTCAGGGAGAGTGCTGCTCTCCCTGAGGAACTTGGGGGGCACAGTTCTTCATTCTGTGGGACTTCCCCACACATTGCAAGATATTTAACATCCCTAGCTCCTCACCCACTAAATGCCAATAATGGCTTTGAGGCCTTGTGATAATAAAAAACTCCTCTACTCTAGTTATTTTCAAACACCACCTGGAAGGGAAGTGCAACCCCTAATTGACAATTACTGTGTTAATGGAACTAAAGTTATATTGGAACAAAAGGGCGTAGGGCTACAGGAGGGATATCTGTGCAAGAAAAAAACAAAGAACTGAGAGATTACCTGATGTGGTTGAACTGTCAGAGCATTTGAGGATAAAGTAGTCATAGATAATAATATAAAATTCATCAATGGAAAAAAAATGAGGCAGTTTTCCAAAGGAAACAAAAACTTGTTCAAGTAAACAAACATAATTATGGTATATTCTGGCTGTAGCAGAGTAGTTTAGTTATGAATACTATTTGCGTAGTGAGAATATAATACTGAATTTAACATAAGGTTATGGTGTTGGGAAGACAGGAAGAGTTACATCTGTCTGCATGCATAAAGATGCATTAGGATGAGCCCTAATGCTTTATCCTCTCTATAGGAGGTGAATAAGTACCCAAAATTAAAACATCAAGTTATGCCTCTAGGAGCATGCTACTTACAATTAATTATGGAGAAATGACTAAAAGAGTTTAAAGTAGGAATGAGTGAGGAGGGAGGGGGCAGAACAGGCACTGCTGTTTTATAAATCTAAATTTTTTTTTTTTTTCCATAGAGACGGGGTTTCACCATGTTGGGCAGGCTAGTCTCGAACTCCTGACCTCAGGTGATCCACCTCCTCAGCCTCCCAAAGTGCTGGGATTACAGGCATGAGCCACCACGCCTGGCCTATAAATCTTATTTTTATATGATTTTATAAACTCTAAACCAGAGGTAATTCAGGTTTATAAAAAGAATATAAAACTACCAACCAATACCAAATTGTGAGGGCTCTCCCAGATGAAGCCATGCAAGGAAGCTTTACTTATTCATGGTAAATCTACTTCTGCTCTGAGCATGTATTACTTTTATAAAAAATGAAGGAAGAATAAAGTATTTTGAATATTATTTACATATTTTAATTATTTTTAATGTATGGAAGTTTTTTAGACTGTTGTACTCACCATTTTCAATCAGATTGATATCATTATAACAAAATGACTGACCCATAAAGACACTCACTCCCCCTCCTTTCCCAAACCACCCTCCAGAATGAAGCCACTTTTTATAACTTTGTCACTAAATCCAAAGGTGAGTGCCAACAGTTAGGAATCGTTCAGTTGCAAAAGATAAAAAGCCCAACTCAGTTGCCTTGAACAAAGAAGAAATGTATTATTTGATGTGACAGGAAGGCCTGAGGTGTAGACATTTGAAATTCGTAGGGTTGGTCAATTTGGTGGCTCATGGATGTTTTCAAATAGCCCAGTTTCGTACTCTACCATCACTCGTGTATAGGCTTGGTCTTCAGCCCACTGCTCCTCGTGGTCAGGACAGCTGTAGTTCTAGGCATCATGTCTGGATAAGGCAACAGTCAAGAGAAGAAGGGGGCTGTTTATTTTTTCCTTTAGTCTCTCTTAAAG